TGGCCTTCAAGGGTCCCTGAGTGGAGTCTTTGTTCTTGAGACTTGGGGGAAGTGGGCCACATGTTAGCTGTTTTCCGGCCTGGGAGGTCCTCTGGGGCTTCTACCTCCTGCAGATCCAGCAGTGTTTTGGCCAGGCCCCATGCTGGCCCACTGGCTGAGGGTCCTCCAGAGTGGGAGTTCTGGTGAGAGCATGAGAGAGGAGGGGGCCAGGATGGGAGCAGGAGAAGGGAGACTCAGCCATAAGTTCATGGGCTCACAGACTTGGCAAGCAATGGAACATGCCTCAGTAAGATGTCCCCTTCTGGCTTAAGCCCACTCTCAGCCCTTGGCAGGTAGCCTATAGTCTACATGGCCCTGCTCACCAGCCACTGCTGAGTAGACCATAGTGGGCACCAACCAATAGTTTAGAATGAAGAAATTCTCTTTCTCTCCCTCTGTCTCCCCCCATTCTCTCTGTGGAATTTGGCCATCTCATCATTCTCTTTTCCTGTCTTAGGAATCTGAACAAGTCCTAGAGATGTGGTCAGTGGGTGGTGACCACTGGAATCGCAAGGCCATTTAGATTGGGCATGGGGGAATCTGTTGGGCCACATGCAAGTAGAAAAAAAGCCAGTCTCAAGGATGAGATGAAGCACAAGGCAGACAGAATTAGGAACAAGAGAGACCATCCTGCCCCTGCTGTGGCTTTAGTGGCTTCCCAGCTAGAGTGCCCCTGTCCAGCCGTACTTCAGTTTCTGTGCCTGCAAGAGAGTTTGTGGCATCTTCACTCCTCCCCCACCTGAACGTGCGCTAGCATAACCAGGTTTCTCTCCTTAGCAATCAGAGCACTCTGTTTAGAACAGGGGACTGGAGATCAGGAGCCGGGGAAGACAAGGGTAATGGAGCACAGGTGGGTCTTCTATCGGGGCAGGCCAGAGACAGAGAGCAGCTAGGTGTTTGTAGTCCTGACTGCTTGTGGCAGGAGTGGAATAAACCCAATTGAGGGACACGAAATGGAACGGATAACTAGGGGCCCATGTGTGCTCTATGCATACCCTGTTCTCAACAGGGGACAAGGAACAGGGTCAAATGCTTTTCTCTTGCGCTTCCTTTCCTCCAGTGGGTAACAGCAGCTTATTCCTAAACTTACAGTTTAGAGGTTTTGAAGAAATATGTGTGACCATGTGTTAGGTCCCTAGGCTGCAAATCGTTTGTTACAAACTGGCTTCTTGGCTTGCCTTTGTGGGATGGGCATATGTGAACACACTCTGGACTTGTCCTGCAGCCCTCCAAGAGGTGAGGGTCACACCAAAAGCCAAGTACTTCAACCCATTAGTGAAACCTGCTAACTTCTGTAGCAAAGAGGAAGGCCCAGAGAGACCTGCTGTTGGGCTTGGCTTCCCTTTGGGCTTTTAAAGCCAGCCTCTGGGTGAGGGGGTGGGTGTCTTTTGATTGAGCACCCCTGGCTCTGTGTTCTCTCTCCCCTGTTAAAAAGGTGGTCTCTTAAAGCGGTTGGGAGAGACAGGCTGGGATGGAATCCTGGCTCCAGCCATGTGGTCTTGGACAAAGCAATATAACTCCTTCCTGCCTGTTTTCTTCTCTTTAAAATGGGAATAATAATAGCGCCTACCTCTAGGGCTGTTATGAGAATTAAGGGAAACAGTACCTACAAGTGCTCAGCACAGGGCCTGGCAAATAACAAACGTGCGCTAATCGTTAGCTGCTGTTATTACTGCTATAACCTTCCCGAAAGCCATTCAGGGAAACTAGTTTTTATGAATGCATCTATGTGCCAGGTACCATGTGAAGTACTTTCCATGTGTATCTCACCTAATTCTCAAAACAGCCCTGCC